TGAAGAGTATTTGAAATACTTACTGAGGAAAATAAAAAACCACAGCCTTTAGTATGGATTGCACCTCAATATAAAGAAAACAAAAATCCTCACCACTGGACCAATAATAACATCATGATAATTGGAGAAAAGACTGAAGCTGTCAAAGACTTCATTATGTCTGGATCCACAATTAATGCTCATGAAAGCAGCAGTCAAGAAATCAAGTGACATATTGCATAAGGCAAATCTGCTACAAAAGATTTCTTTAAAGTGTTCAAGATCAAAGATGTCAGTATGAAGACTAAGAAATCCTGACCAAACCCACTGCCTCCTATGCATGTGAAAGTTGGACAATGAATAAGGAAGAATCGAGGCATTTGTATTATGGTGCTGGTGAAAACATTGAAAGTACGATGGACTGTCAAGGAAAACAAACAAACAAATCTATTTCGGAAGAAGTACAGTCAGAATGCTCCTTAGAAGGATGGCATCTCTCGTACTTTGGACATGTTGTCTGGAAAAAGACATCATGCGTGGCAAAGCAGTGGGTCAGGGGAAAAGAGGAAGACCCTCAATGAGATGGGCTGACAGAGTGGTAGCAACAACAGACTCAAATGCAACAATTTTGGAGATGGCAAAGGGATCGAGCAGCGTTTCGTTCTGTTGTGCCCTGTGTCACTATGAGTCAGAACCAACTCAAAAGCACTAACAATACCAACCTTGTTATTGTGGCTGTTGTTTTTAAGAGTCGTCAAGTCAGTTTCAACTCATAGCAACCCTGTATAGGGGTTTTCAAGGAGTGGTTGGTGGGTTTCAACTGCCGACCATGTGCCTAGCAGTCCAATACTTATCCTACAGCACCACACCAGGGCACCAACAACTATCTTGGTGGAAGCAAATAGCCAGGTCTTTTCTCCCATGAAGATACCGGAGAATTTGAACCACTGACCTATTTATTGGTTAGCCACAATTCCTTTATCATTATATTACCAGGGCTCCTTCTCTGCTTTTTAGCTGTATACACACCTCTGTCTTAAAGTCTATTTCTCAGCTGCATCTTCATCTAACCCCCTTTACATATGGACACTTAACCCAAAGACCACAAATCTATAATCATGAGTCTATATCCTAGCAAGTAAACCTAATCTGCACCAAACAAAACTTCTCAAGAATCTGCATTGAAAATAAGAGAAACTTGGTAGAGGAACAGAAGGAAAAGACATGAGATGTGCTTGAGCCATACTCATGGCAGAAGACCAGAGTGAAGAGTCTACATGCCTTCTATGAGCACTCTCAAGCTAGTCTGAACCAGACCTCCCTTTTACTTCTGATCTCTAGGTCTGAACTACTATAGTTCCAAATGTCCTTGTTACCCTTTGATCTTTATTGTTCCACAGAACTAGTTGTCATCTAGTTGATTCTGACCAATAGCAACCCCATGTATGTCAGACTAGAACTCTGCTCCATAGCGCTTTCAGTGCTGATATACTGTACGTGGATTGCCAGGTCTTTCTTCCATGGTTCCTCAGGGTGAAATCAAACCTCTAACCCTTTGTTTAGCAGCTGAGGGCAGTAACCATTTCTATCACCTAGGTTAAGCATCTTTAAAGTAATCCTCTATCTGTTCAAACTAACTTGAGTCTCTGTTACTTGCGACTGAACAAACCTTACCAAAACACCTGTTTTCTGGTTTGCTATTGTTTTTTAAACTATTCATGTGTTTCTTTCAAGTTTCTCAATATTTTAAGCTATGAGAAAACAATAACATGCTTTAATAGTTCAAAGAGTTCTGTCTCCACAGGGGTACTGTTATTATTGTTGAGTGCTGTTGAGTCGATTCTGACTCATAGAATATCCATGTAATCTTTACAATACATTCCATTCACCAGATCTTTCTCCTATAGAGCTACTGGGCGGGATCAAATCATTAACCATTCTATTAGCAGCCGAGCACTTAACCACTGCACAACTGGGGCTCTTTCTCCACAGGCCTAAAACATTGCAAACAATTGGTACAGAAAGCATAAGGGACACAGAAAAGAATTCTGTAGTGGATGCTGTGGTGTGGCACCCAGATTCTCCTCAGGACTGAAACACTCATTCCCTTAGTAGATACAAGTGCTGACTACTGACATTTCACAGCACAGTTCCACCCTCAGCAGAGCCACCTTGCCCAAGGTAGTGCCTGCAGCCAATTATGTGCGGGGCCAAGGACAGTTCTTGCCTCTGTTCAGGAATCTCTGAAGGGTCACTCCAGCTCCTGGACCACCAGTGGAGTTGGCTGAGGCCTCTGCTATATAAACCTTCTCCTCTGCCCAGCCCTGCTTTTCCCATCTGTCTCCAAGGTGTTGATCCTGATACCATTGACTACTTACTCCTGAATTAATTTCCTGTATACACACCTCTGTCTTAAAGTCTATTTCTCAGGAAACTGGACTTGCAGTATACTCTGTGACTTGCACGGGACTGTGACCCACAAGATCAGTAGCTCAAACCCATCAGCTGCTCCTCAGAAACCCTACACAAGGTTGCTATGAGTCAGTAGCGACTCAACAGCACTTAACAATCACACAACAAGCACTGTAACATAGATGAAGGCAAAGAAAGAAAGAAGAAATTAGACAGGTATGAATTCTGCCCATCTTTGGTCTTCTTGCTAGAGGCAGAGCTCTTTCCAGCATCCTCTCAAGCCTTCCTAGGCTGCTGACCTCACACAATGTCCTGCTTTGCAGGCAGACACTCAGACAACTTGCTCTTCCAGGACAACAGGGGGCGCCACAGGCTGGAGCACCACCGTCTGAGGCCTGCAGTTGCATTTCTGAAGGAAAGAAGAAGTGAAGCAAAGGAAGTTGGACCTGTCCCCTTCTCCTCAGTTTCCAGCTGGTTCCCATCTGGGGCCTCGAGTCTAGAAATCCTGAGGACACAGACATGGGCCCTGCTGGGCAAGCCTGCCTACTATTCCTTCTGCTAGAGTTCTCAGGTAGTTCTTGGGGTGAGGTGTGGTGAGGAAAAGGTTTCAAGTTCAAGAAGGTATCATGTATAAATAAGATGTGGCCTATCTGTACAACAGGAGTGCGGTGGCTCCATACGATAAACACTGGAGTGTGAACCACAAGATCCGTGGTTTGAGCCTGCCAGCTCCTCCAAGAGAGAAAGCTGAGGCTTTCTGCTCCCACAGAGATGTAAAGCCTCAGAAACCCCACACAGAGTCATTATGAGTTAGAACCAACTCAACAGTACTTAACAACATCAACAACCCATAAAATGGAATACTATTCAGTCATAAAGAGAAATAAAGATCTGTTGAGTGGAAATAACTCAGACATAAAACACAAATATTATTTTATGAAATAGCCATAACAAATATTTAGAGAGCAATGTTCACTAGGGGTTACCAAAGATGTGTAGAAAGAGGAAATGGGGAAGGGTATTGCTTAAGGGGGTACAGAGTTTTTGTTAAAAGTGATAAAAACATCTAGAAATGGAGAGTGGTGACTGCTGCCCAATGCAATGAACATAACTAATGTCACTGAGAGGGGTAAAGATGAGGCTTTCTGCTCCTGCAATGATTTACAGCCTCATAAACCCTTTATGAAGGAGCTCTGGTAGCGTAGTGGTTATGAATCAGGCTGTGAAACTTAAGATCAGCAGTTCAAAACTACCAGCCGCTCCATAGGAGAAATATGAGGCTTCCTGCTCCCGTACAGATTTACAGCCTCAGAAACCCTGTACAGGATCACTATGGGTTGGAACCCACTCGAAGGCCAACAACAACAACAAACCCTTTATGGGGTTTGTTATGAATTGGCACTGACTTGACAGCACTTAGTAACGTCACTGAATTTTACGCATAAAAATATTCAAAATGTTTTGTTATATTTTGTCACACTGAACTTTTTTTTCAAGAAAGCATCATGTAGAATAATATATATGACACGTCACTGATGGGATGCTATTTATGAATATGGTGACCTGTGAGAGTTCTGTAAGCTACAAGCCACGCACCATTCCAACGCTCACAGTTAGATAAGTTGTGGTTTCTGTGCCACCAAGTAGATGTTGTTGTTGTTGTTGTTAAGTGCCATCAAGTCGGTTCTGACCCACAGCAACCCTGTATAGGGTTTCTGAGGAGCAGCTGATGAGCTTGAACCACAGACCTGTGGCTCAAAGCGATTTTGCAGTCCAGTGCACTAACCCACAGTGCCACACTAGGACTCCAGTGGCACTGGGAGATAAGTACTGCACTGCTAACTACAACATCAGCAGTTCAAACCCACCAGATACACCTCGGAAACCCTAGAGAGGATTGCTATGAGCTGGAATCAACTCAATGGCACACAACAACAACAGCATAGGGCAGAAAAGAACTGCTCTGCTTCGTACGGTGTGCTAGGCTGTAATCTTTACAGGAGCAAATCATTCTATCGTTTATCCTAGGGAGAGGCTAATGGGCTTAAACTGTCAACCTTTCTGGATTTATAATTGCTGCTCACTGTTAAGTGCGTCCAGACAGTCTGAATCACAGTGGACTCTGTATA